TTCGGCCAACAAAAAGGGCCAAGTTTATGTGGAGGTGTATGAGGGTTGCAGTCTGTTGGACTATTTGGGAGGAGAGAAATTCACGAATATTTACAGATAAGGAGAGAAGTTTGGAAGTAGTACTGGAGGTCATCCATATTAGGGTTATACACTGGCTGAAAACCTTGGCTCTGTTCGCAGAATTCTTAGTTGATGAGTTGCAAAGAAAGTGGAAGGAGATAGCAGAACTTGCTCCAATGAGGAAGGCCTCAAATGTTTGTTGGATCCCCCCACCCCATGACTTTGCTAAACTGAACTTTGATGGCAGCAGCTTAGGCAATCCAGGGCCATCCGGAATAGGGGGAGTAATAAGAGATGAACAAGGGAATCTGTTAGCTATGTATTCTGGACCAGTAGGGGTGGGAGATTCTTTGAGAGTTGGGATTCTTGCAGCTCTTGAAGGGGTACAAAGAATCAAGGATATTCATAGAAGGAGATTCTGAAGGGTGGTAAACTGGCTGAATAGTCTTAGACTTTGGAATTACAGTAATGAAAAGAGGAAATTCAAGTGGCTTACTAAGGACATGGAAATCCAATACAAATGGGTAAAAAGAAGTGCGAACTCTTTGGCAGATGGTCTAGCTAGACAAGGGGTGAACAGACATTCTATATTTTGGGTTGTCTTGTAACTTTTGTTTTTGATGTTTAATGGTTGTTCTTGGGATCTAAGATTGTTTAGCCCCCATGCCCTGTAACTTTCTCATATTTTTAATATTACTACAATCCACAATTATTGATAAAAAAAAGGAAAAAAAAGGATATCTTTTATTCTAAACCATCACAGATGCTTAGAGCAACTAGCAAGCATAATAGCAAAACGAAAGCATATGTAATATTATTGGAGAGATAAATTGTGTTCTAAAAGGCACACTTAGGTTCACAACTACATCTCATTTGGGAGCTATGCCTCACTTGTCTTGCTGCTATGTTGATAAATTATCTTGGATTTGATGTTTAAGTAGGTAATTTACTGTTTAGGTCATTAAAAGGTCATAACCCAACATTGGTCCCAGCCATTTGGGGTTTTGGGATGGATCAACAAAAAATAGGTAATTTACTATAATATAGGTCATATCCATTATTTTTAGAGTTTAAGTAGTTTAGTCTATATAGGATTTGAACCCACAGGCTATATACTTTTGTGTTAATAATATGACGCCATTTAGTTAACAATATTTTATTTCCTTTCAGAATTTTGATTTGCATATTGTTATATATTATTTGCATCTTACTTTTTTCATTGGTGGTGCCTCACTTGGTTTAGGCATGCACCTTACTTTTTACCTCACGCCTTAGACTCTACAAACTCCTTGCACTTTAGTTGTGCTGCTCCCTTTTAAAACTACAAGATGATACAAACAAACAATGCTTTAAAATAAGTTGGCCTAATTGATGCTTTAGTAATCCTGGGTGGCTACATCATGGGTATAGACCAATTAGGTAGTGATGCAACACATATGACCCTCAATGAATTCATTTGTAACATTAAAAAGAACTAGTCAGCGATTGATAAATGCTTTGGTAGCATTTTGGAGTTCACACTACAAATGAATCTCCTGCATGCTTCAGGATATAATTTTAGAAAATCTAGGGTGTTTAATAAACACGGCTGTAAGATGAACTTTCTAGTTGAGTTTTGGTTTATACTAACATTTTCCAGCAAATTTGATGCCACTATAGCATTTGTCAGACCACTAGTCCTCATATTTGCACGTATTGGTGCTCCAAACCCAATAGAAGAATCTTGGCGTCTGCAATAGATAACAAAACATATTGCAAATCAAAGAGAAAAAAAGACAAAACACATTGTGAAGCCAAAGATGCAAACAGAAGCATTACTACTATGGGAATCAAAAGGGTTATTTACTTATATATACCTTTCTGAGATTGTTTTCTCCAAATCAACAAAGGCACCCCCACATATAAAGAGAATGTCTTTTGTGTCAATCTGCCACACACACAAAAAAAATGATATTGAGCATGATTATCCATAAGACTCATAATGTATGCTGAGAAATACCCTAATGAAAGTTGACTTGAAAACTTGATTTATACCTTGCCCCATGTTTTGAAAAGGATATGGAATTAACAAAAGATGAATTTGATAAATAAAAGATTTTCAGATTTTTAAAAATACAGAAGAAATTAAGATGAATGGAGAAAATTTCAAGGACAACAGGTTCCCCTGTGCTTATAGGGAACATGAAGTCAAGTTGAATCTTTAAATTATTTTCATTTGTCCTTCTTCAACATGAAATAAGTAGATGACCTTCAATTGATTCAATAATGCATACAAATTTTCCCTTCAGATCATTGTTTTTGATCTCATCACCAACCAATACCCTGGTACATCACAAGGTGTAACTATGAAGCAGTGGATTTGAAGCCACAATAACTAAGAAAAGAGGTGAAAAATCAGCTTGAACCAAGGTTCAAAGTATCGATGCACCTGATACAAATGAATATGTGTATTAGGTATTTCTATACTATCAAACATTATTTATTTTTATTTTTTCTTCTGATATTTTAACAGGGGATCAGTTTTAGTACTCTTTAACATTTAAAAAACACAGGTTTCTTGAAATGCCTTGAAAATGGAATTCCGGTTAGCCCCCTATACAATATGATACACCCAATACAGGGCGTATCATATCGAATATTTGGACCTTGGTTCGAACTTCAAAGAGATCACAGGCATAAAAGATGGTGGGGAGATTTAGAAGCTAATTGAAGGAGCACTTGGACTAAGAAGACATCCCAAGACTTTGGTTTGGAAAAGGAGCTGATCAAGACCATCATAGAAAATCAAAACAATTTACCGGAGGCCAACTTATTCACAGAGATGAGTACTTTTGATTCATTATTCCTGGGGTTGGAGTGCAGTGACAGGAAAGACGAGGAGAGGGCTGGAAACTCTGTTCCAGATTCAGAACACAGAGGAGAGATTGAATATTGACATTTTAGAAAAGACAAATGTTGGTGTGGTAGAGGATGAAAGAGGGACTGGGAAGGGAGTAAAGACGAGGTTGGTGCATATGAAGGAGATGAAGGAGAAATAACAATTTTAATAAAGCGGTTGAAGATGGAGTGGTGTCTTAAGGTTGTGACAGACAGTAAGGGCTGAAGAAAGTGGGATTAGAGTGACAAAACTAATCAGTGGGCTTGAGGAAGTTGTGGAAGACGAGTAAAATAGGAAGAAAGATAAAGATCCAGAATCAAGGGAAGAGGAAGTAAGGACAGAAAGGGGGGAGATGTTCTAGGTTTAGCTTGTTCTAGAATATATAGAAGGAAGAGGAATTATCGAACAAGATCTCTGCAGGATAATGTGTTTAACTACTGAAGGGGAGGAAGAAGAGGAAGTAAGGACAACAGGGGGGGGGATGTTCCAGGTTTAGCTTGCTCTAGAATATATAGAAGGAAGACGAATTATCGAACAAGATCTCTGCAGGAAAGTGATGTGTGTTTAGCTATTGAAAAGGAGGACAAAGAGGAAAGATGACTCAAGTGGAGACGAGATTACAATGGATGAAAGATCAGTAGATTTGGAAAATGGTAACGAACACAGAGGTCACAGTGAGCAAGACTTCTGAGTTTAGTTTTCGTTGGGGGAGAGTTCACTAGGAAGATCTTCAAAGAATTGGAACAAAAATATCCAATGCTTTGAGGAAGTATGATACAGGAGATGAAGGCAAAGTTTCAAAGGTTGAAGACAATCATGTTGCTCAGAGATCAGCTGGAATTGTAGGGGATGGGGGGGTGAAGAATCAGGCACGGATCAGTTGTTTGAGAAGAACATGGTTTGGGAATTAGAAAGGAACAATTAGTCTAGGGTTTTGATGGAATCCAGGAAGCCTACCATGCTATAAGAAGATTCAGAAATCAGAGAAAGCACCAAATATTTTGGTGTCAAAATTTTTTGCTAATTAAAAAGGGGTCTGTTTGTAATCGGGCCAAATAAGAATTGAAATCCAGGAATGTACTAAAGAAGTAGAGAGCTTTTGTTCTTGTTTGCTTTTTTCGGGGTGCTGGATTGTTGGATATGTTGGACATTGGTTTTTTGTATTTCTCTGATAAGGTTTGGTTTTGTTTTGAGTTTGTTGCTTGGAAGTTTGTTTGATCAAGTTATAGGTTTTTGGGTTTGGTGTTTCATTGGTTTTTTCAGTGGTCTAAGTGTTGTGTTTCTATTGCTTCTTTTATTAGGTTGGTTTTGGTTTGGAGTGGGTGGGAGTTGAATTGGTTTTTTTTTTTTCAAAAAAGCTAAAGTATAATTGTATTATATCAAAAGGTCCTTTGTACAAAGAGAAGCTGTACAAAAAGCTGTGCAGAAGGACCTCAAAAAAAGGCCATCCTCAAAAAGGTACAATCAGATGTAGAATTGCCATATTGATGGCCTTGGCTTCAGAGGAAGCTTTGTGTTAAAAAATCCTGTTGTTCCTTTCTAGCCACAGAGCCCATAGAATTGCCAAAGGAATGGAGGACCAGCAGACTTTTCCTTTCTTTGTCGACCCGGATATGTGCCATTCCTCCAAACATGCTTTCACTGAGACAGGCATGCACCAACTATAATTCAGGGTCTTCAAAAAGTAGCTCCAAATTTCTGAAACAAACTTGTGGTGTAAAAACAGATGTTTAACTGATTCCAGCTCCACATTACAAAGACCGCACCTCATATCATTGCAGACAAAGTCTCTCTCCAGCAACATTTCTTTTTTTTTTTTTATCAATAACAATCAGCTTTATTAAATTAGAAAGGAGCAATTACAAAGAAATAGGGGAGGTAAAATGACTTAGTTCCCCAACAACAAATTACACAAAGAGATATATTAGAAATTAGCCCAAAACAAAGACACCCTATTCACCCCTTGCTTAGCTAACCCATCAGCAAAAGAGTTGGCATTTCTTTTCACCCAGCTGTACTTCACCTCAATGTCCCTAGCAAACCATTTGAACGTTTTTCCTTTCATTACTGTAGCTCCACGTGGTACTGTTGTCTTTAGCCATCTAACCACCACCTCCGAATCACCTTTAAGGTCCAATCTTCTTATGTTCAATTGCCTTGCTCTTTGGATTCCTTCCAAAACCGCAGAGATCTCAGCCCTGAGAGGGTCCCCTTCTCCAATTGGGCCTGAATACAAGGCCATAATAAACCCCTCCTCATTCCTGAAGACACCCCCAAACCCAGATAGTCCTGGATTTCCAAAATTACTCCCATCAAAGTTCAGTTTTATAAATCCGGAGGGTGGGGAAGTCCAAATGGGGCTGGAAATTCTATTAACTGGAGCAGGGTTTGCTATCTCTTTCCAATTTCTCAGCAAGTCAGTCATGGAAATGTCTGTAAAAAGGTCCAAAGATTTCAGCCAGTGAACCACCCTTAGGTGTATCAGATCTATTAAGCTCTCAGCTGTTCTCTCCTTTAATGAAAATATACGAAAGTTCCTTTCTTCCTGTAAGGACCAACAAACTGCTGCCCTAATGCATCTCCACATAATCCTCCCTTTCCTTAGGCCAGCTGAAGAAGGACGAAGAGAATAGACTTTGCACATTCAAGGGAGGAGTCCAATTACACCCAAAAAGGGATAAAACCCACTCCCAAATAGATTTAGCAAACAAGCAAGTAAACATAAGGTGGTATCCGGTTTCCCCAGCAACCTTGCAGAGAGAACACCAATTTGGGGATAAACAAGAAATAGGTTGCTTTCTTTGAAGTAGGTCACTTGTGTTGATTTGTTCCAAGAAAGTTTCCTAGCAAAAACTACCAACCCGAGGAGAATAGGCTTACTCCAAACCTCTTTAGCAGGGAAGGGCAACCCAAGAGGAGCAGGAGGATGAGTAAGGTTTCAAAAAAAGAGGCATAGGAGAAGGCACCCGAGGAGGAGGGGGTCCAAATTCTAATATTGTCCTTAGTGGGGTCCAGGAAAACATTATCAAGGATGTTTAACAATGTCAAAATGCAGTCCAAATCTGTATCCCTAAAGGCCCTTCTCGGGTCTAGGTTCCACCCAAAGCCAGAAGTTGAGTCTGAAGGAACTAAGAAGAAAGAAATAGGTTCATTCTTCAGGTCTGACAGAGCAAACAAAGAGGGGAACTGTTCCATCAAAGGGGAATCCCCAACCTAAGTTTGTTCCCAAAATTTTATTAGGTTACCTGAGTAGCCATATCTGATCCAAGGAAAGAATGCTGGAAGTATATCATGAATGGCTTTCCACGGAGATGCAGCTGTAGCTCTTGCCAAAATTCCAGGATCCCAGCCATTGTCCTCCAGCCCACGAATGCTAGCCACTATCTTTGTCCACAATTTGTCCCTTTCCAAAGGAAATCTCTAGCAACATTTCTTTGGAAAGGCATTTCTCTAAAGCTACTACCCAGTGTTTTAAAAGCGCAAGGGCCAATTTGCGCCAGAGGCACAAGGCGAGGCGTGCGCCTTTTTAAGAAAGGCACAAAATTACTAAAAAAAGCTAAAAAATAAAAAGTTAGAAAATTCCAAAAAAATGCCAAAAAAATTTAAAAAATATTAAAACATAATGTTAATAAAAATATAAACTTAAATTTTAAAATAAATGATTTAAAAAGCCTATTATCTAAAATTAAAATACATAAACATAACATGTAAAGTGTATTCAAATGAAAATTTAAAAATAAAAGCA